CTTTCTTCACATTGCAGGTTTGTGGCAACTTGCATGGACCAAGCCTATCAGTGCTATTTTCCAACAGTGCATGCTTATGTGTCTCGCACTTATTGCCTTTGTTAAGGTAGGAGGTTGTTTAGACAGAGGCTACTGCACACTCATTAGGCTACACCATAGTGTAAGTGGAACTTTTTTTAAAATTTATTTTCATTTACTTAGGCATACAATAACTGGGATACAGGCCAGAGGTGCAGGGGTGAGAGGATTCACCAGAGACACAGTGGGGAGCAGAACAGGCAGATCCACTGAAATACACTGCTGAGGGTAGCAGCGGGGAGACAGGAGAGGTCTGCTGCACCATATGGGTCATCTTCCTGGCTGGGGACCGAACTTGTCCTGCAGAGGCTGGCAATAGCTTGATAGCACTGAGACTTCAACCTCTGCACCACCAGGGAGGCCCCCATAAATGGAACTTTTATATGCAAACTGAAACATTCACAGGACACACTTCATGGCGATATTCACTTTATAGGGATAGCCTAGAACTAAACCCTCAGTATCTGCTAGGTATGGCTGTAGCTGTCATCTGGGTCACATCCATATACATCATAAATTCCACAAGGCAATGTCATGACTTTAGCTTTAAACAGTCATTATCTATTTTAAGGAAATTAAGAGGAAAAAATAACCTTTTAGAAAAACCTTCCCACTTAGTTACCATTTCGAGTTTTCCAGTGTATCAGAGGTTCCAAGTTTGTCCTGGGATAATTCCCTCTAAAGTCGGAAGAACTTCCATCAGCATTTCTTAGTGTTATTTCCGCCAGTGACAAATTCTTCATTTCCTTTTATCTGAAAAGATCTATTTTAACATCTTGAAGGCTACTTTCATTGATTATGAGCATTGGGTTGACAGTTTAAAGATATTGGTTGACTGGTGGCCTCTGTCCTTCCTGATGAGAAATCCAGGGTGTCATTTGAAGCATTTTCCCCTGTTTGTAATGTATTGTTTTTGTCAGGCTGCTTTCAAGATTTTTCATGTCTCATTTTCATATTGATTACATCTAGGCAACTTTCTTCACATGTATCCCTTTTGGATTTGCTGCATTTTTGAACCTTAAATTATCTTTCATCAAATTTCAATGTTTCAGGTCACTATTTACTCAAATATTTTTTTGTTCCCCATTCTCTCATCTCCTGGGACTCCCATTACTTGTATATGAGTAGATTTTGACAGTGTTCCACAAGTTCCATTATTTAAAAAAAAAAGAAAGAGTCCCTCATTTCTTGGACTGGATAATTTCCATCAATCTACTCCCTCTTCACTGGATCCTTTCTCTGTCATATCTGTATTAGGTATACCAGTGCATCTTGTCTTTTTTCCTTGAAATAGGTCACATTTTCCTGATTCTACGTATATTAGGTAATCATGGATCATGTCCTAGATATAAGAACATCATGTTGTAGACCCTCTGGATTCAGTTACTTTCCTCCAAAGGGTGTGAATGTATTTGCTTCGGAGGACAATGACTCAAACTCATAAACTCTAACTGTCTCACTGGGTGGACAGCCTGGATCCAGTTCACTTCAGTCCTGCTTTGGGTCTGCCCCACACACTCATAGTCCAAGGGTCATCAGGAGCCTTTGGTCTGAACTCACACACACAACTTGGGGTTTCCCTTCCCTGGAGCTGTCCTTTCCAGATTAGGCTGCCAGATTTCTGGACTCTGTCCTCTGGCTCTTGAGTGTTAGCTTCCAGATGCAGTGGTAGGGGTAAGAGCCCATGCTCTAGTTAAAGCCATGGAAAAACCAAACACCAGAGAACTCACCCTATGGGGGGCTCCACTTGCATCCTCCATGCCCCTCTAAAACCTATCAGCTTCTGTTCACTCTCCAGGGCCTCAATGTAGCTTCCCCCCCAATTCCCCGGCCCATTTTGTCTAGAACTTAGTTACTTAGGGCTTCGGGGTAGCTATCAGGAATGTATGCCAGAATAGAAACAGAACTTCTGACTTTCTCATAGAACTAAACCCATTTTTTTTTTTTTAAGTGCTTAAAGTATGGAATCCTACGCCACTGCCTCTACATGAACAGAGGCAGAGACTCAGTGACAGTCAAGTCCAGTGAAGGTCACATTCTGTTAGCAATGTCCAAAGGGCTCTGAGAAGAACAAAAGGAACTTCTTGTTCCAGAAGGAAAGGAAACGCCTAAAGTCATCTCTGTGGCCTTCGCTCTTGGAACCAAGGTGCCAAGATGGCCCACCACTTGGCAGAGTGGTGACTCTTGGGGACTCAGAGGACCTGACAACGAAGCCTCCACTAAACCACCATCATTTGCAAACACAACTTGTAGCAAGCAAATCCCAAACTTGACCAACCAGCATTCCCACCCACCTTCAATGCTCCCATCCTGCAATGGTTGCTTCTGGAAAGGGAAGACTTACTTTCCATTGTTTATGTAGTTTTTTCCTTCCTTAAAAAACAGGACTGCGTATCTTTGTAAACTTCAACTTTGTAATACAAGCATGTATTATCTATCCAAACAACAAATGCAACATGAAATGCTCCCACCCTACAGCTTTTTGGAAAGGATCAACAGCTCAAAATTCACCTGCATACTCAAAATACAACCCTGGCATCAAGCTTGGGGGAGTTTTTCCCAGTGTGCACAAAGGAAACAAGCTCAACATCACTCAACAGTGGACTGATCAGACAATTTATGGTCCGGCTGTAGTTTTGGAATTTGATGCACTGATGAGAGTCTCCAAGACATAGTGAGAAAAGGCAAGTTGTGTACAAATAGTTATTTATGACTATCATAGTAGGTAAGGTTGAGCAATTTCAACTCACAGAACGTATTCAATCATTTAATCTCCACATATCAGTAATATACTATGATTATCTCCATTTTCCACATGGGGTAACTGAGGCACAAAAGGTCACTTAGCTATGTGATAGCGTCTGGGTTTGAATCTGACAGCCTGGTGGATTTACTCTCAATGGCAGCCAGGAATGACCTCTACGAGGCTATGTGAAAGTAGAGACAACTAAAAACATACAAAAAGCATCTCCTGTTTCTCTCCAAAATCCCAAGTTTAATTGTGAAGTCAGCTACTCAGGTTACACTGCCAACACTGAGCTGCCATTCCATATGATAAGCAGGAGGAATCATTTCGCTGTTACACTGATGTATTGCTTGAATGTTTTACTACGAGCTTAAGAAATCAAATGCACCTGCCCTCTTGGAGCCAGCAGAAGACGCCCCCCCACCCCCAGCACTGAGACAAGCTGCAGTGCCACTAAATGAATGTCTACTAAGTGCCCCACCTAGAAGTTCCCCCCCGGCCTATACTGCATCCCTGACTTCCTCAGTCAGGCTGTTTGCTCAGATACAATCGGGTACGGCGATATCTACTCGCGTGGAGTTGCTATGAGAGTTAAAATAACCTAAAATATAAGCATTCTGAAAGGTACTAGAGGCAGGCAGTGTAGCATGTTACTATTATTGTTAAATCCTTTTGACTAGCCAAGGAGAACCTAAGCCTCTAGTGCCCCACCTGCACAGAACCAATATGACACAGCTTAACAGACACACACACATTTATATTTACAAAAAAATATGCAAGAATCTGGCAAGAATGGTCTGCACTGCAAAGGCAAATGGCAGAATGTGGGGCTAAGAGGGGCCCCAGAACTTTTAAATGTGTTTTAATTTTTTGCCTTTGCATGTATTTTTCTTTTTTTGGGAGTAGCACCTGCTCCAATAAAATGTTCGGTCTGAGCCTTCAACACATTAAGCACTTAATGAAGTTTGCCTACTACACATACCAGAGACAGCAAGAGCAGGGTTTGGAGGGGAGAGACCTAACATTCCCAGAGACGGTGCCTTCCTCCAATGGGTAAAAGCAAGCATCCCAAACGTTTTTCTTATCTGCACAGATCAGCGCCTCCTTCCCAAGGAGGTACTAGAAATGACAGGATTATCACTGCACACTTCCTGAAGACTTAGGGAAATCCATTTTTATGATAATACCAACATGCAATATGGGAGAATATGAAATCTGAAGAAAAGAGAATAAAGACATTTCTTGCCTGCGGCTGGCAGTTTCCAGCTCCACCCCCGATTCCCAAGGGGTCCTGTCGGGATGACTCAATCTCTGCCATTAGAGGAACAGGGTGGAAAAGTTTGAAAAGCTTCAGCGAAGACTCTGTATTGACAATATTGTTTTTATCCATCCAGACCCACCTGCTCCCCCTTGTGACCAAGGCCGCTCACTGCAATGCAACTAGCACAAAATTTCAAAGACCCTGTAAGATTCAGGTAACTGCTGACTTTGGTGTCCCTGATTCCACACCAACATGGCCTACAAAGGGCCTCCAGCAATGCAGGTCTAGCTTCACCTAGGGAAGGAGCAGAGGTGAAGGTGACCGAGAATTGGGGAATGGAGCACCTATTCCCAGTGGAATCCTTTTGTTCCTCCACACTGACAGTAGCAGGATTAAAACAGAAAGAAGCTGCTTTATCCATACCAATAGGTCAGCGCCAAAGCACACACGACCAGACTTCAAGGAGAAACAAGCAAGGGTGGGGAGAACTGGGACACACGCAGGCCACCGAGTGGAGGAAAATCTGGTGTTTATCTGACCCCTACCAACTGTGGACTCGAAGGATGTTACTTAAGTGTCATATGACTTTATAATGGAACCTCATTATAAGGTTCCACTTTCACGCGGAACCTGCCTAGTTAAATAGATGGCAGCCTCAGCATCACCTGATTCACGACTTTTCCAATATTATTATGCCTGTCATTGAGGACAGGTATTATTGGACTGAATTAGTCAACAATTGGAACCAGAAACTTCAACACATTCTAGAATTTGAGCAATCTAACTTGCTGCAACACCCAGAAAAGTGGTGGCAAAGATGACGGAGGGGAGGAAGATTTGAGTCATGTTAAAGCAGTCCGTGATATTTCTTCAGGTTTAAAAGGGCATCTGGTAGGATCACACTCTATCAGAGGAAGAAGTTTCTAGCATAGAAGAAAAACAAACAAATCCCAAAGCAAATAACTTTATTTCTATTATTCCTTTTTAAACAGCCAAGGAAATCTAAAACATCTAAAAAACACAAACATCTGCGATTCAGGGGACAAATGAAAGACCCACACAGCCCTTAAAGCGACAGCCTCCCACAGCGGTCTGGGCGCAATGGCTAAGGGGCTCTGCTAACTAAGGCCAGGCTCCTCCTTCCTATCTGGGCCCCAAAGAATCAGCATGCCGGGGGCGGGCCCTGGAATCTGCCTTTTTAAACAAGTTTTCAACTAATACTCGATTTGCAAGGTCTCGCCCTAATACCCAAAGGGACTTGCTAACATTTCCTCTCTTCCAAAATCCAGGCTGGAACTCAACTAATCCTAAACTAAAACTCAAGAGCAGCACACCAGATGCCACCTGTTGTTTTTCAGGACTTCAGACTTCGGAGGAAATACATTCCACTGTTTTCCCTCTCTAAGAACACCTGTCTGTGCTTGGAACTGCGATCGCACTAGTGTTTCCTCAGCCTGGGCCTTGGTCCCCACCTGTAGTCAAGCTCCTCTACCTGACAGTAGGCGGGGAATAAAGCCTACGAGGTGGCAGAGGCCCCTGGGCAGCACGCATGCTGCTCCTGGGAGCGGCCCCAACAGTGAAGGAACCATCAGGGAGGGAGGCATCAGGGACTTTCATTTCAGGTGACTGCCACTGAGGGGAGCAGAGTGGAGTGGGCAAGTCCTGGCTGGAACTCAGTTCCAAAGCGCCCAAAGGGAGGTGGCCAGTGGCCACATCCAGGCTTAGCAGCCGCTAGTGCTAGAAGTAGAACCCCGCACACCTCACTGCTTGCAGGAAATGGTCTGTATTCAATTTTCCCTCGCCTGGAGATGCCTATGGGGCTAGAAGGGGACAGGGAACACGTGGGCACACGGTGGGTCGCATCCGGTTGCCAGGTCTTGGGTTCACTTGGGGCCAAGGCACTCGACAATGCCATTCCCCTTCATGCCATCAAAGAAGAAGAAATTGTTGTGAGGAGGGTCCCTTTGAGACAGGGCCTGGGAGAAAAACAAGAAGAGGGTTCAGCTCAAGTGCTTTAAAAGGGATAAAATAGAGAAAAAGAGAAATGAAACACAACATCCCAAAACCAGCTCCTTGAAAGCTGTGTGGGCAGTGGTTCTCAACTGAGGTTGATTCTGCACCGCTGGGCTAGTCTGGCTCTGTCTACAGATAATTTTAAAATGAAGCCATGTCTCTTTGCTCTGCCCTGTACCAGGTGTGTGTGTCCTTGGGCACATTATTCAACTTCTGTCCTCGCCGGGTAAAACAAAACTAACAGCTGTATCATCCTAGGCATCAGGAGGCGACATGCCTCAGCTATCTATACCTACACCAGCACCAGCGGGGAGGAGCACTGCTCAGCAAATGACTGTTCAACTGACAAAGGCAGCGAGCCAGTCCTTTGTCACCTGAGGAGCACACGGGGATGCAGAAGACACTCTCCTGCAGGGGAGGATTCAGCCTGCCTTCCACGGACAGGCCAAGGTGGGCGCCAGCCAGAGGACCTGGGACATGCTACTCAGCCATGGAAATGGAGATTGTCTTGTGGGTTCAGCACATTTAGAGATGGGGGTCAGACTCCCTGAAATCCCATGCTAAGTCATCTGGGGGAAGGCTTCAGAGATGCCAGTGAGTTCCCCACAGGGCTCTTAGTCCAAAAAGGGTTACCACTGAAGAGGAGGCCATCACCTAAGCAGGCTGCTGGCAGGGATCACATGTTCCCTGAAGGTGTGTCATCTTCAGGAAGGACCCCTGCTGCAAGAATAGGAATGTGCTCTAAACACCCTGAACCTCTCCTCGTGAGGGGCGCACTGACGCCATCCAGGTCCTCACCTGTACAATGGAGACAATCATACCTACTCTGAGTGGCTGTCACTCAGTCATTCGCCCAAGGGACAAGTAGTGAGCATCTTCAGGAACCAGGCAGACATCATGCTGTACTAAGGATTCGCAGGTTCCTGCCATGTGGAGTGTGGAGCAGAGGTTTGTCCCCCTGGGAATGTGTGTGAGGTTACACATAAACAGCATGTGTCTGCTACAAGTTTTGGTGAAAATGAACTGCAATCAAGCTTATCATGTGCAGGGAACACAGAAAGTGGGTGCTACCGGTGACAGAGGCAGGGGTCCCTTACCAATAACAGAATTCCAAGCACTCAGGTGGAAGGGCCAAAGAGCCGATCCATATACTCCTAGAACCTAGACCCCAAGTTACAGAAATGTGTTTTAACACATTTTCTCAGCAGAGGTGTGGCTGTTACTGTTACATCTAATACAGTAGGCGGGGAGGGTCTGTAGAGAGGATGGTTTCAACTTAAGGAAGCAGGATGCGACAGGAGACAGCTATAACGTGTGGTGTCCAGAATGACAAAAAGAAGGAGACAAAGATGATTCCAAGGGAACACACTTCCACATGAGCCCTCCATCTCCAATGTTTACTTTCCAAGGGTGGTCAGATGGCCTCCCTGGGGAGCAGAGGGAGGTCTGTGGCCTCAGATTAGGGACCCTACTGCCAGCTGGCTGAAGCGTGGAACTGTGTTAAGCAAGGGGAGTGGTAGGGACAAGATAGCAGGGCGCGGGGTGAGCTGGGGGTAAAAGGTAAAGTGCTTCCCAAGCAAGATGGGGATGAGGAGATTCCAAACACACCCAGCAACCAAGAATGCAGAGTACTCAGGCTATCCGGGACAAACAGAAACAAGATGCGGGGCAACAGCTGCGTCCAGCAGGCAGGAAGGAGGGGGCTGCATTAGGGTCAGAACTGGGACGCAGAGGACCCACTACAAACAATGAGGTTAAGGCCACCTGCCCCCAACCCCAACTCCTTTCTCCATGAACCCAGAGAGCAGCTTCTCTGTGGGATGCACAAAAGGGAGGTCAAGGGTGCAGGGACAGTGTCCACAAGTGTGCAGAGACAGAGCTGCTGGACAGGGGTGGGGGTGCCGTCAAGGAGCAGCACCTGAGGCCCCGAGGCCTCATGGCGACAATCGCAGGCTCAGAAACCAGACCACTTGGGCTCAAATCCTGCCTCTGCCACTTCCTGCACCTCAGTTCCTCCTTGATAAATTAAGGGTTCCAAGAGCTCCCACTTCCAATAGTTGTGAGAATAAAGCTGAGTTTATCCACGCAGGAATCATGACCTCCGTGTGGTACACAGTGGGCAAGGACAGTACCCTGACCACGGTTGCTGCTGTCATTCTAGGGCACGACACTTGCTCCCGCGAAGGCTTAGAGCTTTTCCTTCCTGGCACTCTCTCCTGCCAAGTCCGTCTGCAGCGGTCTCAGAATCCTTCTCAAGTCCCATGGCAGCCACTACCAGCTTCTCAGATTGGGCATACACGAACAGAAACTTTCACATCACTCTGAGCTAAGCAGAAGATGGAAGCAAGGAATATGTAGCCCTCGTGTGTGTTTCTTCCTCTCCCTTTCATATCTCCTTGGGGCACCCTACAGTCATGACACAGATGGGTAGGTTTGGGGAAAGAAGAATTTGGTCCAGAGAGGATCAGGAAAGAGGAAGAAAGAAAAAAAGGAGCCTTCATGTGGAGGAACTATCAAATTGGGTCATATGTCTAGAGAGCAAATTACAGATCCAGAAAACAAGGGAGTGAGCACTTGGTCTCCAAATTATCCTCCTAAGCTCGACATTGATGTGCAAATGGACATGGGAAACCAATGAACTCTGCCCCATGAAGGAAGGGGACAAACCATCACTGTAAGCCCACCAAAGCAGTTAAGCATGTGTGAAAGGCGAATTGAACACGCTTGGGGCAAATACCAAAGCGCCCCCAAGAAAGTAAAATATATTTGGGGCTATGTTCTAGTTTTAGCAACCTGCACGTTCTTCTCGGAGAGACTCACAAGGCTGTGCTAGTTATTGGCTGAGTGACGCCTGGTGAGACACTTCCCCTTCTGAGAGGAACAGTGATCCTACCTAACTCGGTCATAGGGCACAGTGCATAGAACCTTCTGGGCTCCTAGCAGAGAGCACAGGATCTGAGGGCACTGCCTTTCCTCCTCCTCCTCTATAAAGCCACAATGGGTGCACTTACAGGAGGGAGTTCTGCCATCATGGCCATGGAGAGAACTGCGCAAGTTGAGGACAATAGCCCAGGTTCTGCAGTTCCTTCTCAGCGCCTCAGTGTCCTCTCTTTAGATGGGCGCAGGGCTAGGGCTTGTACCCCAGCGCTGTGAGGAGACTACCTGGCCAACAGCACAAGCAACGTAGTGCCTGTGGGGCACTGTGCCCATCTCTGGGATCACCAGATGCCCACCCTGGATGGGACGAAGGAAGGAGAAGGGCGGGGCATAAACAAAGATGAGTGGGACCAGAGGAAGCAGGCAGCTTTCTGGGTTCTGCCTGTGAGCACAACTACAAGGTTAAGACAGAGTAGGCCGGCTCTCTTCTATATTCCTCAGTAACTTTTACCTTCACAATTTCCTGGGCCAGTATCCCTCCAACCACGGCACACACTGGGACCATCTCAGAGAAGCAGTACCTGCAAGAGAAGACAAGCGAGATGGAGCTGGAACACCAAGAATCGGCAGGACATCTGGAAAAGGGCAGCAGCAGGCTGGGCCAAATGAAAACATCTTCTACCAGGAGAAGTCAGTTCAGATAGCCACACTAACCCAGGTGTGAGCAGTAAATCTGATCCTGGTGTTAGTAGGTGGCTGGGAAAGACCTCTGAACCGAGGTAGCCAGGAATTCTCACTTTTTTTTTATGTTTAAGGAAAGACTAAATCTGTGCTTCCTAAAAATAAGGTCCTACAAATACCAGATGTGTTACAGTGCCCCGGTCACATTCTCTCAATTCTCTTTTTACTCATAATGGGCAGTGGGTTCTATATGCTATTCCTAGACAAAAGCCAAGCAGAAGGCCTGTGTTAACATGTAGGAGGCATGGGAAATTGGGGCCTAAAATCAAAGCATGGGGGAGAAAAGGTCTGTTACCCACAGATACCAGTCCTTCTTGGTAAGGGTAGGGTATCCAGAGGGCAAATTTTAGCTGATACTGTCACCAGGCCCTCAAAATGGACAATTCTGGGGAACAAAAGACTTTCTTCCTCAAGTGGAAGTGTTCTCTGCCAGTTCCCACCCCTGAAGACAAAGGTGTTTTTTTAAGAAAGCAAAGTGGAACATGGAACCCTACACACCAGGACACTGCCCCCAATCTTCCCAGATGGGCAGATGCCTGTAAATTTTTAAAAGTACATATATCTAAACATAGATGATTTTTTAAAAGACTTATTATTTATACAAGAACCGGGGTACAGGCCAGATGCACAGGACGGCGAGAGGATTCACCAGAGACAGAGCGGGGAACAGAACAGGCAGACTGACAAAATACACTGCTGAGGAAGCAGCAGCGGGAGAGACAGGCGAGGTCTGCAGCGCCATGGGGGACCCTCGCTGACCAGCCGGGATCAAACCAGTGCTGCAGAGGCTGCGGACAGCTTCACAGCGCTGCGCTCAACCGCCTGCGCCACCAGGGGAGGCCCTAAACATATATGATTTTTAACACAAGTAATATTAACTATTACTCATTCTGCTTTGTAACCTACTGATGGATATTAACCTAAGCTAGATATTTAAATAAATCTTATTTATTTTTATTTATTTATTTTTATACAAGAACAGGGTACAGGCCAGATGCGCAGGAGGGTGAGAGGATTCACCAGAGACAGAGCAGGGAACAGAACAGGCAGAATGACGAAATACACTGCTGAGGGGAGCAGCAGGCATGACAGGAGAGGTCTGCCGTGCGATGTGGGACCCTCGCTGGCTGTCCAGGATCAAACCGGCGCTGCAGAGGCTGCAGACAGCTTCATAGTGCGCTGCTCAACCGCCTGCGCCACCAGGGGAGGTTCAATAAATCCTATTTAAGATTACAATCATGTGGGCCTCCCTGGTGGTACAAGGGGTTAAGATGCAACCTATGAAGCTATCCGTAGCCACTGCAGCATGAGTTCACTCCCCAGCCAGGGAGCTAACCCACATGGCGCAGCAGACTTCTCCTGTCTCCCAACTGCTCCCCTCAGCAGTGCATTTCAGTCAATTGGCCTGCTCTGCTCCCCATTCCGTCTCTGGTAAATCCTTTCACACACACCCCCACCCCTGCATTTCTGGCCTGCACCCCAGCTCTTGTATGCATGAATAAATTAAGTCTTTTTAAAAAAATCCATTCTATTTCTTTCCATAGTCATGAACATTTGAAAACAAAAATCAGGAGTTTCATTTATAATAGCATCCAAAAGAATAAAACATCTAGGAATAAATTTAACAGCAGATGTGTAAAATTTATACTCTGAAGATCACTGCTGAAAGAAATGAAAGACCTAAATAAACAGAATGATAGCCCATGTTGATGTGTCAGATCTTAATATTGTCAAGATGGTAATACTTCGAAAACTAATCTGCAATCATCACTGTATCAAAATTCCAGCTGCCCTTTTTTTTTTTAAGATTTATTTTACTTATTTATGCATTCAAGAGCTGGGGTATAGACTGGGGGTGGGGGGTAGGGGAGGTGCGGTGAGAGAATTCACTGGAGACAGGAGTTGGGAGTAGTGGGCAAGACAGGAGAGGTCTGCTGCACCATGTGGGTCAGCTCCCTGGCTGGGGATCGAACTCATATTGCAGTGGCTGCTGACAGCTTCATAGTGCCGAACTTAATTAACCCCTTGCGCCACCAGGGAGCCCTTCCAGCTGCCTTTTTTATAGAAATGGAAAAATTCTAAATATTTATTTATTTATGCATACAAGAACTGGGGTACAGGCCAGAGGTGTGGTGGGTGAGGGGATTCACCAGAGACAGAGTAGGGAACAGAATAGGCAGATCGATGGAAATACACTGCTGAGGGGAGCAGTAGGCAAGGTGGGAGAGGTCTGCTGCGCCATGTGGGTTGCTCCCTGGCCGGGGATCAAACTCCTGCTGCGGTGGTTGCAGATAGCTTCATAGGTTGTGTCTTAACCCTCCCCACGCCACTAGGGAGGCCCAAGAAATGGAAAAATTCTAAAAGCCGTATGTGCATGAAAAGAAACTGAATTACAAAAACAACCCTGAAAAAAGAACAAGTTGGAAAACTCACATATTCTACTTTCAAAACTTACTAATAGGGCCTCCCCTGGTGGCACAGGCGGTTGAGCGCAGCGCTGTGAAGCTATCTTCAGTCTCTGCAGTGCCGGTTCGATCCCGGCCTGCCCGTGAGGGTCCTACATGGCACGGCAGACCTCTCCTGCCTCGCCCGCTGCTCCCCTCAGCAGTGTATTTTGTCAGTCTGCCTGTTCTGTTCCCCGCTGTGTCTCTGGTGAGTCCTCTCACCCTCCCACAAATCTGGCCTGTAACCTGTTCTTATATAAATAAATCTTAAAAAAAAAAAAAAAAAAAGCTTATTAGTAAAAGCTATAGTAGCAAGAGAGTGTAGTCTTGGATTAAGGACAGATACACAGACCAAACAGAGTGCAGAAATAAAACCTTACATATACAGTCATTTGATTTTTGACAAGGGTGCCAAGACCATTCAATGAGGAAAGAAAAAGTCTTTTCAATAAGTGGTGCCAGAACAACTAAATCTCCACACACAAAGAATTAACATGGACACCTATCCTATACCAGGTGCAAAAGTTAACCAAAAAATAGATCAGAGGGCCTCCCCGGTGGCGCAGCGGTTGAGCGGTGGGTTGCGAAGATGCCCGCGGCCTCTGCGGCGCTGGTTCGATCCCTGGCTGCTCCCCGGCCACCGGAGGAGGGTCCCACATGGCGCGCAGACCTCTCCTGCCGCCCGCTGCTCCCCTCAGCAATGTACTTCGGTCCTTCTGCCTGCTCTGCTCCCTGCTCTGGCTCTGGTGAATTCTCTCACCCTCCCGCGCTTCTGACTGTACCCAGTGCATGTACAAACAAACAAACAAATAAATAAATAAAAACATGCCTCTAAAAAAAAAAAAAAAATAGATCAGAGACCAAAGTATAGAAATCAAAACCAGTTTTAAAATGAAAATAAATCTTTATGACCTTGGATGAAGCAATGGCCTGCTAGATGTGACAATGAAAGTTCATAAAAACTAAAAAATTGAACTTCAAAGGCTATACCATCAAGAAAGTGATATGGCAACCCATAGAATGGGAGAAAAAAATTGCAAATATTCTTGTATCCAGAATATATAGCGAACTCTTACAATTTAACAACAAAAAGATAATCCAAATTAAAATTGTCAAATGATCAAATCAGACATTTCTCTAAAGAACACATACAAACGGCCAGTAAGCACAGGAGGAGAGGCTGGACGTCCTTAGTCATTAGAGCCATGCAAATCAAAACCACAATGAGATATAAGTTATTGCCCACTGAGGCAAAAACAAGGATGTGGAAAAACTGGAACCACATAAAGTGCTAGTGGAGCAGTAAAGTGGTGAGGCCACCGTAGAAGACAGCTTGGCATTTCCTCAAAATGTTCACCCAGAGTCACTGTATGAACCATCAACTCCACTCATGTATACTCACCCAAAAGCAATGAAAATACAAGTTCACGCAGAAACACACAATTAATGTTTAGAGTGGCTTTCAGTCATAACTGTCAAAAACTGGGAACACCACAAATATCCGTCTGCTGACTGTGGTGCATCCATACAACGGAATACGACTCAACAATAAGAGCAGAGCTGTGGATTCACACAACAGGGAGGAGTCTTAAATACACTAAGTGAAAAAAGCCAGCCTCAATAGAGCACACAGGCTGGATGATCCCATTCACATTACGTTACTGGAAAAGGCAGAAGCAGAGAGAAAGAACTGGTAATGCTTGTGTGTGGGGAAGGGACTGACTACAACAAGGCGTCATGAAGGGATTTTTTTGGGTGATGAAATTATCGTATCTTAGTTGTGGTAGGGATCACATGACTCCGTGTCATAAAAATTCATGGAGCTTTAAAGCATAAACAAAATATACCCTCACCAAACTGTATAACAAGAAGGACTACATTTTACTTTTTATTTTAAAAATATACACCTTGAGGAAATATTTCAAGAATGAATTTTATGTTATTCAAATCTAAATAATAAAAATTAAACAAGACAAGGGCCTTCCTGGTGGCGCAAGGGGTTAAGACGCAACCTATGAAGCTGTCCGCAGCCTCTGCAGCACAAGTTCGATCCCGGCTGGCCAGGAAGCAACCCACATGGCGCAGCAGACCTCTCCTGACTTGCCCACTGCTCCCCTCAGCGGTGTACTTCGGTCAGTCTGCCTGTTCTGTTCCCCAGTCTGTCTCTGGTGACTTCTCTCACCCCCCGCATCTCTGGCCTGTATCCCAGCGCTTGTATGCATAAATAAATAAATCTTTAAAAAAAATTGAATAAGACAAGACAAACATCACCCCTAGAAACAGCCAGACAAATCAAGAATATGAGATATTCTACAATACAAGAGGTTTGGACTCTTAAAGAAGTGGTAAATTGTTCTAGATCAGGAAACAGAAAACCTTTTTCTGTAAAGACCCAC